TTGATTGATGAATATGGTTCATCCCTTGCTTCGCCGATGTTGTAATATTTGATTTATGAATACGGTTCATCCCTTGCTTCACCGATGTTGTAATACTTGATTGATGAATACGGTTCATCCCTTGCTCCACCGATGTTGTAATACTTGATTGATGAATACGGTTCATCCCTTGTTTTGCCGATGTCAGTAAGCATCCCTTGATACTTGTAATACTTAACAGATGAATACGGTTCATCCCTTGTTCGATAAAACTTCGATGTGTTTTGTTTTGAAAGACTCCGGCTATATTCATGCAAACCTTTATTATTAGTACCATTCACTGAGTATCCAAGCTCACCCTCTCTATATATATGTAGGTGATGAGCAGGACGTCGGCGACGCCTAGACTGTTTTGAAAGCTTGTTTTGGATCCGTGCTTATGTCGGCTTTATTTTGTATTCATGTCGGCGAGTCTTGAAAATCATGCTTCTTGGCTTGTAATTGTTGTATTTTGTATATGTCGGCTCAAGAAGCCTTTTGATCAAGATGTAATACGTATTTTGTTTGGTTGTATTCAAGTTGTAAGATGAATGACATTGCATTTGATCTACGCACAGCTCTTATGGACCACTTGTATTTGATTTATTACTTCCGCATTTGTGAGCCCCGTTCATTATACTCTGATTGTGTTAAGTTTTTGAAAGTTGGCCTTCGGTAATTACGGATTACTGGCCATCACGGCACCAAACTACTAGGGGCGATTTGAGGTCGTGACAGAATGGTATCAGAGCACAAGTTCCTCGGTATACGCTATTCATACACTTTGAGTCCTAAAGAGCATAGGATTTTCCTTAGAAAGATGTTAAGGTTGCATCATGGTAATTGTTGTTTGAGTGAAGTGTGCAATGTCTTGATATACCCATTTGTTGCTTGCCTACGGGGTTATTTGCTTATTTGTTTTAAAGTCACACTTTGCATGCTCATAGCATCATGAGGAGAGGTAGACCTCCAATTGGCCGGGATCAGCCCGAAGACAGAATGGAGAGACTGGAAAGATTAGTTAAGGGTTTGGCCCGCGAGTTGAGGCAAACAAGACAGCAGTTCGCCAGTGCCACGTCGACTCAGGCCGAGCAGACCAATGGCCGAAATGTAATTCCGCCTCCACCTCCTCCAGTGCCGTAAGTTCCCCCGCAGCCTGCCTTGTATGGGGAGGGCACGATAGCTTTGATTCGGGAGTTTAAGAAAATGAGACCACCAAGATTCTCTGGGGGTATAGAGCCAATGAAGGCTGAGGCATGGGTTTTAGAAATGGAGAAGTTGTTCGAGATCTTCCCTAGCACCGACGCTCAGAAAGTGACGTTGGCAGCATTCACATTAGATGATGACGCTCGCAGGTGGTGGATGATGGTTAGAGGGAGCAATCCAGACCTGACCTGGACTCGATTCTTAGAGCTGTTCTACAAGAAACATTTTCCCCTAAGTGTTCGAAACCGCAAGGCTACCGAATTTCATACTCTGACGCAAGGCAACAGAACAGTGGCGGAGTATGATCGCGCCTTCACTGAATTGGTGAGGTTTGTACCTCACATGACCAACGATGAATATATGAAGGCCAGGAAGTTCGAGTGTGGGCTTCGTGGACCGATTCAAGACCGGGTTAGTTTGCTCGATATGCCGACTTATGCCGAAGTATTGGACAAAGCCATTCAGGCCGAAGCTAATTTGAATCGATACCAGAGCTCGGGAGAGAACCAGCGAAAAAGGCAGAACTATGACAATCGCCGAGGACAGCTGGGCACCAAGAAGAGAACGAACAGGGGCAGTACTAGTGACTTAAGACAGGAAGGGAGTACTAAGCCGACGTGTTCGGACTGTGGAAAGCAACATTTCGGGATCTGTCGTCGGACGTCTGGAGCCTGCTATGAATGTGGCGAGATGGGCCATTATGTAAGAGATTGCCCCAAGACAAAAGCTGAAAACAACAAGAAGGGTGAGAATACCTCGGGTTCCGTTCAGAAGGGAAACACTGGGAAAGGATAGATGAGACAGGGCAGAGTATTTGCGTTAGTACCAGGAGACACTCAGAATGCTGAGGCAGTGGTGTCAGGTACACTTCTAATTTGCTCCCAAGATGCTTATGTGTTGATTGATTCGGGTTCTACGCATTCGTTTATATCTACTAAGTTTGCCGAGAAAATTAATAGAGAACTAGAGCCCCTTGATTATGTGTTGTCTGTGTCTACTCCATCTGGAAGACCTATGATTGTTGCATCCATCTATAGAGCATGTGTGGTTGTGATTAAGAATGTGGTATTGTTAGTAGATTTAATGCCTCTAGACATAGCCCATTTTGATGTTATACTGGGAATGGATTGGTTGGTCGCAAATCATGCATCTATTAACTGTGTTTCGAAAAGTGTCACATTGAGACCCCCAAACCTAGCCGAGGTTATTTTCCAAGGTAAAGGGATAGTGCCCCCACCTTATTTGATTTCATCCATTAAGGCTTGTAAGTTAATTCGGAAGGGGTGCCGAGGCTACTTGTGTAGTATACTGAGTGATCAGAATAGAAATGTTGATTTAGCCGACATCCCAGTTGTTAACGATTTCCCTGACGTCTTTCCAGACGAATTGCCTGGTCACCTAACCGATAGAGAAATAGAGTTTACTGTTGACATCATGTCGGGAACACAGCCGATCTCCAAAACACCTTATAGGATGGCCCCAGCTGAACTTAGAGAATTGAAACTGCAATTGCAAGAGTTGTTAGATAAGGGATTTATTAGGCCGAGCACTTCACCATGGGGAGCACCCGTTTTGTTTGTTAAGAAGAAGGATGGCATACTCCGTCTTTGCATCGACTATAGAGAACTTAATAAGGTCACCATTAAGAACAAGTACCCATTGCCTAGGATCGATGATTTGCTTGACCAATTACAAGGAGCACGAGTCTTTTCTAAGATCGACCTTAGGTCTAGTTACCATCAGCTTAAAGTTAAAGCCAAAGATGTTGAGAAGACTGCTTTTCGGACAAGATATGGCCACTACGAGTTTTTAGTGATGCCTTTTGGAGTGACCAATGCCCCTGCTGCATTTATGGATTTGATGAACAGAGCCTTCAAACCGTATCTAGATGAGTTTGTAGTTGTCTTCATTGATGATATATTGATCTATTCCAAGAACGAAACTGAACATGAAAATCATTTGAGACTTGCCTTACAGATTTTGAGAGAACGGAAATTGTATGCTAAGCTTAACAAGTGTGAGTTCTGGCTTTCTACCATCTCATTTTTGGGTCATGTGATTAACGAAGAGGGTATCTCAGTTGATCCTAGCAAGATTGAAGCCGTAGTAAATTGGCCGAGGCCGACTAATGTATCCGAGATTCGCAGTTTTCTGGGTTTGGCAGGATATTACAGGAAGTTTGTCAGAGATTTCTCAAAGATTGCAATTCCATTGACGCAATTGACTAAGAAGGGAACACTGTATGAATGGACTAAAGATCGAGAGTCAGCCTTCCAGGAACTGAAGACGAGGTTAGTTACAGCCCCAGTACTTGTGCTACCATCAGGTAACGAAGAGTTTCATGTCTATAGTGATGCATCGCATAAGGGTTTGGGTTGTGTATTAATGCAAAAGAGTAAGGTTATAGCTTATGCATCTCGTCAGTTGAAACCTCATGAGAAAAACTATCCTACCCATGACTTAGAATTGGCGGCCGTGGTATTTGCTTTAAAGATTTGGCTTCACTATTTGTATGGAGCTTCTTGTCAAGTTTTTACAGACCATAAGAGTTTAAAGTACCTATTTACACAGAAGGAATTGAATTTGAGACAGAGAAGGTGGCTTGAGTTGTTGAAGGACTATGATATGCAAATTCAATATCACCCGGGAAAAGCCAACAGTGTAGCCGACGCTTTGAGCAGAAAGTCAGATGGAAATTTGGCGTGCTTGACCATGATGACAGTGGAGCCGACTATTGTTGATGAGGTAAAGACAAGACAGATGGAGGATAACTTCTTCAAGAAAATAGCCGAGGAAATTGACACGAAGCCGAGATCAGGGTATACTATCGAAGAGCAAGTACTCAAGTTTGAAGGAAGGTTGTGTGTGGCCGACATCCCAGAGTTGAAAAGGAAAATTTTGCAGGAAGCTCATGGTTCTAAGTTTGCTGTTCATCCAGGGAACACCAAAATGTATCAAGATGTGAAGCGGACCTTCTGGTGGCCAAATATGAAAAGAGAGATAGCCGAATTCGTGTCCCAGTGTTTGCATTGTCAGCAAGTGAAAGCAGAACATCAAAGACCAGCAGGACTTCTTTAACCTTTGCCGATTCCTGAGTGGAAATGGGAACACATCTCCATGGATTTTGTGACTGGTTTGCCGAAGACACCGAAAGGTATGGATTCGATTTGGGTTGTTATTGATAGATTAACTAAGTCAGCACACTTTCTACCTGTTAAGACTATATTCAATGCCGATCAACTTGCCTTGTTATATGTGAACGAGATTGTCAGACTTCACGGAGTGCCGATGTCAATTGTGTCAGACCGAGATCCTAAATTTGTTTCTAGATTTTGGCAGAGTCTTCAGAGAGCTTTCGGAGCCGAGCTGAGATTTAGTACAGCTTTTCATCCCCAGACAGATGGGCAGACAGAGAGGGCAATTCAGACGCTTGAAGATATGCTTAGACTTTGTGTATTGGACTTCCAAGGAAGTTGGGGAACACATTTGCCCTTAGTGGAATTCGCTTACAACAACAGTTACCAAACTAGCATTGGCATGGCGCCGTATGAGGCCTTGTACGGAAGAAAATGTAGGTCGTCGATATGTTGGACCGAAGTTGGAGACAGAACTCTACTTGGTCCTGAATTGATTCAAGTGACAATAGAGAAGATTAAACTCATCCGACAGAGGATTAAAACTGCCCAGAGCCGACAAAAGAGCTACGCCGATCAGAGAAGGAATGAGTTAGAATTCGAAGTTGGAAATCATGTATTCCTGAAAGTTTCACCAATGAAAGGAGTATCCAGATTTGGAAAGAAAGGTAAATTAGCACCTCGTTATATTGGGCCATTTGAAATTCTTGAGAGAATTAACCCCGTTGCCTACAGACTTGTTTTGCCGCCGGATTTGAGCCAAGTCCACAATGTGTTTCATGTTTCGATGTTGAGGAAGTACATCCGAGATCCACTACATGCAATTGACCATTCCGAGATCACGGTTAATGAGGATTTGGGCTACAAGGAGAAGCCAATGAGGATTATTGACAGACAAGTAAGACAGTTGAGAAACAAATCGATACCGATGGTGAAGGTCGAATGGAAGGAACATTATGGCACAGAAGCCACGTGGGAAAAGGAAGAAGATGTGAGAATCCGTTATCCAGAGTTGTTTCTAGAGCAAGGTAATCTAAGTTTGGGGACCAAACTTCTTTAAGGGGGGTAGGATGTAACAACCCTCACCTTACTCTTGTCATACTACATACATTCATGCATGATCCTGCATTGTTATATTGTTTTGAAGGTTTTGTCTTGCCTTGATTTGCTTAAAGTCACTTGCTTGATTTTGTTCTTTGCTTGGTGTGTGTGTGTGGCCGAGGTCGCCTTGAGCTTAGTTCGCCTTTGAACCTTTGTACTTAGAACTGTTTTTGAGACTTTGGTCAAACCCCCCATCTTCACCTCGGGCTTGTTGCCGAGATGTTTTTGCACTTACTGAACCTTGTCCGCAGGCAGGTATGGCCTAGGCCGAGATGTGGCACACCTCGGCCAAGGTGTGGCACAGCTTAGTCAAGCGTCGTCCTCCCTAGCCGATGTCTTTGTTATCCTGTTGCCGGATCCTTGATTTGAGCCGATGTCATTTCTTGCCGATGTGTCTTACCCGAGCTTGCTGCATACGCTTTGTCAGAGACTTGTCTTATCAATCAATCACCTTTTTGAGCTGAACCAACCCGATAGCGCCACGTGTCCGAGCTGATTGTTAAGACAACCGGCAGACCTTGAAACAAATCATTTTCTTGTCTCAAATCTTTGTTTTAAAGAGAGAAGCTCTAGAGAGGAGGAAGAGAAGTTCTTGAGTGAGAATAGATTTTTCCAAGCTTGATCTTCGTGGTTTGAGCCGTTAGATTCGAGCTTTGGGGTAAGAATCTTGATCTACTTTGGTTGTTGGCATTGATTATCTAGCTGCATTGCATGATCGAATCTGTTTTGCATGTCATGCATTGCTTTGAAGTTGGTTTTGGGAAGAGAAAATGGTTTTTCATATGTTCTTGAAGGAAGTCTCGTTTTGATCCGAAAGTTTGGAACGAAAACCATGTTTTTGTGTTTGTTCTTGCATAACCTTCTTGTATGGGTACCCAGGTCCATGTTTCGAACTCATGGCACGAACTCTCAGATTTTGTAACAAGTTTTGATCTTGCATTCATCTTTCTCATGATCATATTCGTCATATTTTTCATGTTATTCAAAGGGAAACCCAGGTTTTCCCGACTTTGCTTTTGATTGAGGCCAACGGGACCACGCCTCGGCAAGGATGTGTGGGACCTCGGCAAAGACCTGGTTGGTACCCAGTGTGTTCTCATGAGACGGGAGCAGCGTTTAAACTCCCAGCGTGTTTTGCTTTGTTTTTGACTTGGATCTGGTGAGGATGCCGAGATCATTTTGCATGCATGTAAGGCTTGTTTTGAGAATGTGGTTTGCTATGTGGTTGTAGGACTTTGATCTTTGCTTTGAGTCTACACCTGAAGAACTAGGTGAGTGGTATTATCGATAAAGCTATGTTATACTTGTTTTGATAAATCTTGCTGGCCTTGTTTTGACAAAAGTGTTTTGTTAAGCATGAATGAATAGCTCTTGTTTTGATGTGTCAAGTATAATCCTTGTTTTGATGCCATCTTTGAAAAGGATACGGTCCTCTCTTGGAAAGTCCCTCGTGCTAGAGGACTCTAAACTTTCGCAGCACTAAGCATAAAAGGATACGGTCCTTGTTAAATCGGGCTACGGGCCTAAGTAACACAAGTCCCTTGTGCTGGAGGACTATAA